TTTGTCAAAGGAAACAGAATGACACTGAAGATCACCTGTAGCCACATTTGTTGCAAGCACTATTCGGGTATGCTGACAACTAGTGCTGGTGACTGTCAAAATACAATAGCCCAGCAGGGAGGTCTCACCCATCCATGCCACTGCAGTGCTTTCCTCACATCTCCCTCCACAGCCCCCCACCCCCAAACGATTTTTTGCATCTCACCTATCTGGCCCAGCCAGGCCATCTCCTGGTATCTCCTGGCAGAAGCCTTCTGTATTTATTATAACTGACAGTGGTGAATGGGGAGCAGAGGGCAAGAGCTAGAGGTGGAAGAACACAGCCATGTTGTGGCTGAAAAAAAGCCATTGGTTCCAAAGGCCACATGAAATGGAGTGGCAGGCCAGATTCAGCCCATGGGTCTTGTGTTTGATACGTGTTCTAGAGCCTTTTATTCCTAGCTGCATACAGTTGTTTCAGGCTAGTTGGCCATCATCTGTGCGTTGTATGGAAACCATGGCTTGTAAGGAGTAGTGCTTATGGAGAGACACAAGTGTACAATCAAACGTGTTATGGTGAGGTGGGTCAAAAGAAGCCAAAAAAGCCCCCCCCCCCCCCCCCACATAACTAGTATTAGGTGTTGGAATGTTAGAGTGCCTTTTATATTACTTATTTATGAAATATAGAGTAAGCTCTGGTTCATGAAGGAAAAGTAAAACTTTTAAGTCATATATACTGATTAATTTTCAGATGAACAAGCTAAAACTGTCCAAAGCCATTTTAAAACTCCATCTGATTCTCTTTTGAAGAATCTTGAATCACTGGTTGTAGACAACACAAATTTTACTATACCAAGGTAATATTGCCACCTTCTGATCAAATCTGAACAGTACATGTAAGCTGTGAAAATGTCACTGTGGTATGAAATTTACCAAGACATAGCCACGTTACCTGTAGTGTAACTACATTTCTTGTGTCTGAGTGTCTGTGTAGATCTTTTCCTATAATGTACAGTATTGGCTGGAACACTCAGCAGGTCATGCATCATAAAGCATTCTCCCAGGCCCCAAGCACCTATATGCATGTTTGCAACTGTTTGGTGGTATGATGAAATACGGTCCAATGATATATGCTATGGTGAAATTGTATGATGAACTTGGTATGTTAGGCCCAGATGCCAAAGCACACTGACAAAATTCAGGCTCAGTCTAGCTGTGTCTTTTTGAAGATTTATTGCTGTACTTGAGCACAGGCAGCAAGGCCGTCTTTAAAATTGATTGGACCCTAGGGCAAACATTTTCTTGGGCCCCTCCCATGCAATTTCACTCTCCACCTGCTCTGAGACACACAATATATAGCAGCTAGGCTCAAAATCAGTTTACTGCAGCAGATCAGGCAGCGATTGCGATTGGTTGCTGGAGGTTACAGCATATCATTGCAGCTCACTGACTGGTTGGTAGAAGTTACAGCATATGATTTCTGCTGTCTGATTGGTTGCTAGTGATTACTGCACATCATTACTGCTCACTGATTGGTTGCTAGAGGTTACTGCACATCATTACTGCTCATTGATTGACTGCTAGAGGTTACTGCACATTATTACTGCTCACCAATTGGTTGCTAAAGGTTACTGCACATTATTATTGCTCACTGATTGGTAGCTAGAGATTACAGCAGATCACTACTGTTCACTCATTGGTTGCTAGAGGTTACTGCACATCATTACCGCTCACTGGTTGCTAGAGGTTACTGCACATTACTACTGCTCACTCATTGGTTGCTGTTGGTTACTGTGCATTGTTACCGCTTACTTATTGATTGCTAGCGGTTACAGCACATCACTACAGCTTATCGATTGGTTGCTGAAGGTTACAGCACATCATCTCCTCACCTCACTCCACACCATGAACTGGGAAGGTGAGGTGACCCACTAATAGATAGAAAATTCCTAGGAATTCTAGGACTCCTGGAATCAGTGGCAGTGTTGAGGGGAGGGTGAGATCAGTGGCAGTGGATGGATCAGTGGTAGAGGTGGGTGGCATCAGTGGCAGTGCTTGCGGTGGATAGAAGGCGACATTTCTATATCGTCCATCAATGTGAGAGGGGATTTACATTGATCACCAGTGTAAGAGCAATTCTGCACTTACCATCAATATAAAGGGAAATTTACACTGACCACCAAAGTAATGGGGAATATACACTGATGACCAATATAATGGGATATTTTACACCAACAACCAATACATTTATACACTGGCCACCAATGTAGGGGAATTTACACTGACCACCAATTTAACCACTTTGCAACCACACTATAGCAGAATGATGGCTAAAGTGTGGTTGTCCAGTTCTGGGAGGGCGTCATATGATGTCCTCCAAGAACACGCCCTCCCTCGAGCCCCCAGCAACGCACACTCAGCGATCTCCATGATCACTGTGTCCTATGGACACAGCTGATTATGTGATGTGGTAAAAGGCCAATCACAGCGACCTTTTACCACGTGATCAGCTGTGTCCAATGACACCGGGTAAATACAGTTGCCGGCTATCGGCTGCACTTTCCTCACGCTGTCACAGTGTGAGGAAAGTACTGCCGATAACTGGCAATTGCCAGAGAACAGATCAGCACTGATGATCAGTGCCCCGATGATCAGTGCCCAGCAGTGCCACCCATCTGTTCCCATCAGTGCCACCACCAGTGCACCCACCTGTGCCTAGCAGTGCCACCCACCAGTGCCCCCCATCAGTGCTGCATAGTGCCACCCATCAGTACTCCCCATCAGTGCCATCCAGCAGTGCCGCCCTCAGTGCCCAGAAGTGACACCAGTCAGTGCCGTTAATCAGTGCAGCAGCCCTCATCAGTGCCCCACAGCCTATCAGTGCCCATCAGTGCAGCCTCATCAGTGCCGCCTATCTGTTCTACCTAATCAGTGCCCATCAGTGCTGCCTATCAGTGCAGCCTCAACAACGCACATCAGTGAAGGAGCACCCACCTGTGCACCCACCTATGCCCAGCAGTGCCACCCAGCAGTGCCCCCCATCAGTGCTGCATAGTTCCACCCATCAGTACTCCCCATCAGTGCCATCCAGCAGTGCCGCCCATCAGTGCCCAGAAGTGACACAAGTCAGTGCCGTCAATCAGTGCAGCCCATCAGTGCCACCTATCAGTGCTCATCAGTGCAGCCTAATCTGTGCCACCTATCAGTGCCCATCAGTGCAGCCTCATCAGTGCTGCCTATCCTTTCTACCTCATCAGTGCCCATCAGTGCTGCCTAGCAGTGTAGCCTCAACAACGCACATCAGTAAAAGAAAAAAATTACCGGTTTGCAAAATTTTATAATAGAAAGAAAGAAAAACTTTTTTTGCTTTTTTTTTGTTTATAGTGCAAAAAAAAAAACACCCAGTGGCAATTAAATACCACCAAAAGAAAGCTCTATTGTGTGTGAAAAAAAATGATAAACATTTCATATGAGTACAATATTGCATGACTGCGCAATTGTCATTCCAAGTGTGACAGCACTGAAAACTGAAAATTGGCCTGGACAGGAAGGGGGTATAAGTGCCCAGTAGGCAAGTGGTTAAGGGGAGCTTCTAAATGGACCACCGATGTAAAGGAGGATTGATTCGACACTGACCACAAATGCAAGTTAGGATTTTTTATTGATTACCAATATAAAGAGGAATTCCTACAATGGTCTCCAATGTAAAGGGGATTTACGCTTAGCACTAACATAATAGGACCATTCAGAGTGACCATGTGAGGAGGGATTTACACTGACCACCAATGTAAGGGGGCATTCACACTGACCACTAGTGTGAATGAAAGGATTCTACACCAAGCCCCAATGTAATGAGAAGATATACACTGACCAGCAATGTTATTGAGACATTTAGCCTATGTTCACGTCTATGTTCTATGTGAAAACATGCAAAATTGCTTTCCTGACGCCACAGAAATGTGCTGCCCTCTAGCAGATACACAGCAGTGCCATTAATGGTTAATGTCACCCTCATGCATTTGCTGTTGTGTGCGTTTCCATATGCACCAAAATTCACGTTTCTGTGGCTCGGTGTGATTTTGAAAAGGGGTCGGGGACTTGATTTCCACATTTCTAGTGCACAGAGCAGCCCATTGAAATGAATGGGCTGCCCTACATGTGATGTACATCTTTTTTCACCCTCTCAGTACACCTTTACATCCCATCCTAAATTTCTCTGCTAACCTCTGCACCCCAAACCTCTTTATTCTAACCCCCCACCTTTACCCTTGGCTCACATATATGCGGCCGCACAGGCCCCGTAGGGACCTCGGTTCCCAGTACGGTTACGTTTTCGAGTGTGGGCAGCATGCTATCAGAAGTAATGGCACCCGCCCACGGGTCCGCATTCCTCTATGCGGGTGGTGCGGCTGCGTGGATTTTCATGTGGATCCGCAGCCGCACCACCCGCACATATGTGAACCTAGCCTAATTCCACATGCCTCCTCTGCTCATCTTTGCACCCACTTTCCTTACCTCTGTACAGTCCCTTCTTGCTCACCTGTGCATCTCAAACTGTAATTCCTTTGTTTACCTTTGTAGAACAGGCTGATGGTAGGCTCAGTGACCACAGTTGCAGGCAGGACTTTCAAGCATGCCTGTTTACCTTCCCCCATGAGCAGCATTCATCAGAGGTTATGGTGGCTGGAACCTCAGGGGGGCATGATATCCATATAAATGCTGCAGTTATTTACATATGAATGCTCATGCTATTTACATATCAATGCTGCTGGACTGCCTATATTTACATATGAATGCTAGTTATTTACATGTGAATGCTGACAGGGTCTCCATGTGAGTCATGGCAACAGGGCAGAGCTGGCCAGCATAAGTGACAGCACTTCACACTGAGATATCTGGACACTGCGCAGCACAAAGACTTCAAGGGACAAGGGAATGTAAACTGGGGCAGTTGGCAAGTATGGGGCAGTTGCTTTGGGCTCCGCAACAATGACTGGGCCCGGGGCAGCTGCCCCTTTTGCCCCTCCTTAACCACTAGCCTACAGGGCACTTATACCCCCTTCCTGCCCAGGCCAGTTTCCAGCTTTCAGCGCTGTCACACTTTGAATGACAATTGCGCATTCATGCAACACTGTACCCATATAACATTTTTATAATTTTTTTGTGACAGAGCTTTATTTTGGTGGTATTTAATCACCTCAGAGTTTTTTATTTTTTCTTAAACTTACAGTGAAGCACACACACAGCACACTTAGTAAAACGGCACACAGTTAACCCTTTGATCACCCAACATGTTAACCCGTTCCTGCCCAGTGCCATTAGTATAGTGTCAGTGCTTTTTATTAGCACTGATCACTGTATTGGTGTCACTGGAGATGTCAGTGACACTAGGTCAGTTCCCTCCAGTGTCAGAATGCCCGCTAAAATCCCGCAGTCCAGCTATAAATCGCTGATCGCTGCTATTACTAGTAAAAAAAAAAAAGCCCAGTAAATATTGCACCATTTGTAAACGCTATAACTTTCACTTAAACCAATTAACCACTTCCTGTCCGGATACTTTTACCCCCTTCCTGTCCAGGGCAATTTTCAGCTTTCAGCGCTATCATTCTTTGAATGACAATTGCGCGGTCATGCAATACTGTACCCATATGAATTTGTTACCATTTTTTTGAGACAGATAAAGCTTTATTTTGGTGGTATTTATTCACCGCTGGGATTTTTATTTTTTTTACTATGTAAATGAAAAAGTCCAAAAAAAAAAAAAAAAAAAGTGTTTTTTTTTAATAAAATTTTGCAAATAAATAATATTTCATCATAATTCTTGGCCAAAATTTATTCCGTTATTTTTTTAGTAAAAAAAAAAAAAAAATCCAAAATAATTTATAACCAAAAATTATAATTTTTAAACATTTTTATTTTATTTTTTATATTATTTTTTATTTTTTTTACATTCTGTCACCCTAGCAGTATCATGGTGACACTGTACTACTTGTGGGGGGTGATGAAGATTTTTTTTTTTTACACTGATTGCTTTTACATCCATATAGGATGTAAAAGCAATTATTTCTCTTTCTCTCGGTCTGCATTCTTGCAGTCATTGAGAAGTACTGAGTGAGCTGTGATTGGTCACAGCTTGTCACATGGTACAAGGCTGTTGTGAATAGCCTTGTACCATGTGACCTCTGTGATCATTCACAGATTTCACACGTAGTAAGCAATGATGTCACAAGTGACATCTTGCTTACTACTTTGCATGTGATCACTGATTCGCCAATCAGTGATCACATGATCGGGACCTCATACAGAGGTCTCGTCCGACGATCGGACACAGCGGGCACCGGATCGCTAGAAAAGGCGGGTGCCGTTTATGAACGGCAACCCGCCCCTGGACTGCCACCGCCCTGCCGTTTATCAACAGCAGGTGGATGGCAAGTGGTTAATTTACACGTACTGGGATTTTTTTTTTTTTTTTAGCAAAGACATGACGTAGAATACATTTTGGCCTAAATATATGACGAAATTTGATTTTCTAATTTTTTTTACTGGACATGTTTAATAGTAAAAAGTCAAAAGTTATTTTTCTCAAAAGGTTTTTTTTATAGCGCAAAAAAAAAAAACCAACAAAACAATGCACAGACGATCATATACTGCCGAAAGAAAGCTCCATTTGTGGGAAAAAAAAAGGACCTAAATTTAATTTGGGTGCAGTGTTGCATCACTGTACAATTGTCAGTTAAAGTAACGCAGCGCCGTAACTCAAAAAAAGACCTGGTCAGGAAGGGGGGGTAAATCCTCTGGAGGGCAAGTAGTTAAATCCAAATTCCTCCAACGACATCTAGCCAGCACACGCTGCGGCCTGATAACAGCTCTTCAGTAACACAGGCCCCAGGAGAGAGTTCTGAAAAGATCCTCCCAAACATTTATCTTCTCCCCAGCCATACCTTCTGGGCCAACCTCCCAGGAATAGGCTGAGATCCGATAAATATTCAAAACCCAGTGGCTAACCCTCCAGATTATATATTTCTGGAAGCTTCTTCCAGAGGCAGACAGTGAGCAATCAATCACCAGACTTAGAGACACCTGACCAGACCTAGAAAATAAATTGCTGCTCAGATAAGTACAACAGAACCAAAAACTACATTTGCTAGCCTAGAGCAGGGGCACCACACCAAAAAAGCAATTAAAGGCCACTGTGGGTTTGCATGCTTTCTAAGATTGAGAACAGTCAAATAATCTTGCAGAATCTGATTATTTTGAATATTCAAATCCTTTAATAAACAACTCTAGTAGATAAAGAAAAATTGAGAGAAATATGTAAGACGCAGTCACTTATTTGATCTTGAGAATACTATATACCTGGCTGTGTTTGGTGTCAATGCATTGTGAAACATTTGTCCAGAATATCCATGTGGCACATGCAATCAAAATGAAGTCAGAACTTTTATCTGCTTAAAGCCTATATGCCAGTTAAAAAAGGGACTGTGAAGTGCCCCTGCTGTTGATTGGTCTATCACTGTAGTTGAAATCCGAAGTCCTGTGCTTCCCTCCCCATTCTCTGCAGCTATATTGATTACTGGTACTATGGGGGTTTATACAGCCACTGGACTTGTCACAGGCACTCATCAATAGCACTGACTATGCCTGCCCTTTCTGCCCCCCTTCAATATTTAAGCTGTAATATAAGATGGGCAATCAAACTGCTGAAAGAAGGCTGTAGCAGAGAGGTAGACCCTCTTCGCCTGTACAATGCCAAGGCAGTGGAGAGACATTTCCTTGGGATCAAAGCAGTACATATGAAGGGCAGGGGCATATTTACTAAAAGGCAAACAAGGCACTTGTCTAGGGCGGCATTTTTTTTTTTTAGGTGGGCAGCTCCTCCCCTCAGAAGAAGGAATGAAAAAAGGGACATGCACACCACGGGAATCAGGTGGGATCCGAGAGAGGCTGTGGGTTGCTTCTTGATGTATGTAGAGCCTGACTCTCGTACCCGGGGATGCCAAAAGCTGTGAAGATGAGCTGTGAGATGAGATGGGGGGTAGTGGAAGGCGGGGGGCAGGGGTGTTGGTCAATGTCAGGTTCTCTCTGCACGAGGCGGAAGGGGGGGGGGGGTTGTGTGTTGGTTGGTGTCCATGGGGGCAGACCAAAATACACCATTGATGAAGGGAAGAACAATGTCCTGGTTAAGGTAGAGGCAAGTAACCACTTTAGAAAGAAAAGAGGCTGTCAGGGGAACTTTTCAGAACAAACATGATCATGTGTGGAGAAGGAGATAGTAGAACAAAGATGTGCATGTGCGGAGGAAAAGACCTGGAATAGTTGCCAATACAGCACATGACCATGCAGGGCTGCTGTTAGAAACCACGGGGCCCCATACAGCCAACCTGGCAGGGCCCCCTTAAAAAAAAAAAAAGAAGCAAAAACACACAGTTTACTATGCTTCAGTTATGAATGAACACAGTGAGCGATCAGCACCGATCACTCATTGTGTTCATTCAGGAAAGGAAGGGGCTGGTTAATGTACCATATTTACCCCCACTCTCTGAAGGATCCTATTGTGTGCTTGCAGCTGCCTGTGGGAAGGAGAGGAGGGAAGCAAGCACTGTGGGGTCTCTGGAGGCTGCGTGAATATGATGTGCACAGGGAAGGTGATCAGCTTGGTCGGGGGGTAGGGGGGGGGGGAAGTACCGGATCTGATCCCATGTATGACTCTTCCTACAGCAGCTGAAAACCAGCAGGAGGGAGAGGAGAAGAATCCGGCTTTCAGATGCTGCAGAGAAAGGCATACAGAGCATCAGTTCCAGTAATTGCCCCCCCCCCCCCACTGTGCCAATCACCTTCCATGCACACATCCAATTTGCCCAGCTGCCTGGGCCCCCCTGCTGGCCTGGGCCCCATATAGGAGGACTGGTGGTACCCCCTTATCCACGGCCCTGTGACCATGCTCGTCTGCACAGGAATGCGTGGCTGTGCGCACTGGCAAACCTTCACACACATCTGTGGCCGAAACTAGCGTCAAATAAGGACAGTGGCTGTGCTCAGAGTTTTCTGGATGATCTTCAGCTACCACTTCTCCTTGCTTCTGTGTGTCCTGTAATCTTTGGACTACCTGTTACCGACCCGACTTGCCTCTGGACCTTTGCCTGACTCCTAATTTGATCCTGGCTTGTCATAAGGACTCTTCCTTTATTCTATCGTGTATGACTCTGGCTTGTTGCTTTGACTACTCTTCTGCCTGCTCTACTGGATCCCTATATGACCTTGACTCTGTTCTTAGATAGAGAATAATCAGGTGGCGCACACACCTAGTGCATTATCCAAGGTTTATTGAAAGGAGTGAAAAGTAAAAACATACAGACAAAGCATGTATCTAAAAAGCATTTGCATAATGACGATGGCCACAACGCCAAGCAAGATGTTCCAACTGTCAGTGGGTTAAGCCATTTGATCGCACTGACAGTTGTTTGCAGACCAGAGGGAGCTACATATATATTTCAGATTTCTTTTATGTGATTTAGCAGCATGTGTATCAAGATCTTTGTTGAGACCCCCTTCTTGACCACCTCAGTGAGTGTCAGTCTCTGATGTGTATTTCCGCAGCCCAGAGAGGTTTTCATAGAGACGGCGACAGTTAATATTTTAATATGTTGGTTATTGATGCATCAATCTTCTCATAAAAGGGTTAGTATTGTATGTAATATAAGATGTTTAATGAGGAATATAATATTTCTAAATTTTGTATCCATATACTTATGTATATGTTTATACTACAGGTTGTTGTACCCTATAATGTAGGTACCTCTGAAGAAGAGATATTTTTTCTGCCTCGAAACATGTCAGATATGTAATATTTATGTAAAGCTTCATGAGAAATTGCGTTTGTTGTAAAATCTTTAACCACTGACCATTTGTTTTGTAAATTTATCTTAATATAATGTATAAAAAAGTTAATCATTGTTTTATACACATGTACACAACTTGTGCCTTAAAAGTCCCATGCTTAGAGGGTTTTTTCAATTTTTGTCTACTGCAAGCAACTTCAAGCAGATCTAGACTTCAGAACAACTTAAACCATGTGTAACATTAGGAAAGGTTCTTTACAGGTTAAGGCAGCTAACTCAAAGATGTAAGGTGATGGCATACCTTGCAATTTAAATCAGACAGAGGAATATGCCGAATGGGTTTGAAATGAAATGGTGGGCAATGGGTGAAACACCCTGCACAAGGCCTTAACTAAGGAAAGAGAGGCTAACAGTTTCTGAAACAGAACCAATATTTGCCCAGTGATGGTACTTTAGACCAGATTTTGGTCCAGATCTGAGAGGAGAAAAGAAAAGATGCAACACATGGAGTACTTCCAAGGATGGAACTGCCTAACCTTGCACCACGCAAAGTAGGCCTTCTAGGTGCGATGTAAAACTTTACAAAAAGATGACTTTCTATCCTTTAGGAATGTAGGGATGACCAAATCTGAAAGTCCTCTATCCCTCAGGCCCTCAGCTTCAACAATTACGCTGTTAAGCCCAGTGACGAAGAAGCAAGATGGTGGACTGGTCCTTGAGACAGGAGGTGTAGATGATCCAGAAAGGCCTCAGGAGTGTCTACCAGCAGTCTGAGTACGCCCGAGTATTTAGTGCAAGGAGTATCACAGAATGCCCTCCATTTTTGACACTGGCCCAAAACCCCCCTGAATATATGACTGGAAGGCTGTCTCTGGGACTGAAGAGCCTTAGCATGTGAGGGACAGAAGCAGTAGGAAGATCGTTGACAAGGACATATCCAATATCAAGGCCAGTAATTCCAA